CCTTTATTGAGATGAGACAATTCATGTAAGGGTTAAAAGCAATGTCTAAGGTCCCTCAGACATACAGGGATAGATAAGGGAATTTAGAACCCCTCCCCTTTCCTTGATGTGTATTTAGTGAAACAAAAGCCAGTATGTTAATCCCCACACCCTTCTGTAGAAATTATCTTTTTCAGTTTCCCATTCGCATACCTAATTTCCCCCCACCCCCTTTTCAGAACGATCTTTTTTCCAGAGGTTCCCAGAACACATCTCACTGTGGAATTTTTATGGTCTTCTCATCTCCTGGCTGTGCCTCTCAGAGGTGATAAGTTCCAGCCATCTGGGTTTTCTTCCTCCATTGTATCATGTGTGGGTTATACAAATTCAATATAAGATTAAATATATTCAGGTTACATCAAGAAAGGATTTCTTTATCAGTCTCCCTCCCCCCGCCTTTCTTCTTCCACTGAAGAAATGACAGATACACAGATCTGACTGATGGTGTTTGGGGGAAAACTGTCCTTGTGTCTAGTTATTCTTGTGTGCAGTGCTCTATAGCGTCATTTTGAGGGAAGGAGTTGAAAGAGTTTATGTTCAGGATGTGAGAGGTTGGCAATATACAGGTCCTCGATTTAAGGCAGGTTGGTAATTTTTTTTTCTGCAGTCCTAATTATCCTCTGAAGTCTGTGTCTGTCAAACATCTGATGATGTTCCCTAGTGTGGGTAATGAAGTCTGCACAAAACAACCAAGCTCAGAGAGTGCTAAGGACCCCTCATTTCAACCATCAGCTACACATTTTCTCCTTTAGTGGCAGGTTGGATTATTTTTGGCATCTTGACATCCCAGAGAAAGTTTCTATTCACATTTCTGCATGTCTCAGCAGGAAGGACTAAAGTAATTTTTAGAAGTAGTTCTTCCTAATTTCATGTTATTTTGATTCCCATGGATTTCCAAAGATTTTCCTTCTTGAGTGATCATTTGCAATGTTAGTACACCGGAGTGATTTTCATTCTGATTAGAGTATCCCTAATTTGGGAGGGAGGATCTTTGAATGGTTACTTAATAAATGATTGTAAATCAAGGAAGACCTGGGTGGGCCAGAAGGCTGCCTAGCTATGGGAGCTTAATATGCATCCACATTCCCTTAACACTGCTTTCTCTTTATGAAAAGAATGGTTGTCATGGTTCCAAGTAATACTCCCAACCAATTCAAGACTCTGAGGCCTTGGATTCCTTAAAAATCCAGTTTATTGGGTATATCACATCGGCACGTTCAAAGGTGAACCAACACTGAATAATTCCTGCATTTTTGGTATAAGTAAAGAATAGATACTGTCCATCTCTCTTGTGTCACAGGTCACATTACCCAATCAAGCAAATTATGAACTTTTCAGCACTCCCTCCTACCGTTGCTAAGGCATTCTGATTTGGCCTTCTTTTTTATGTCTGGCACATTGAAGAAAACATTCTATATTCTGGAGCACTGGGAACTGCCAGAGGACTGGAAAAGAGCTGATGTAATTCCCATCTTCAAAAAAGAAAAAAAAATAGATCCAGGAAACTATAGACCTATCAACCTGACCTCAATACCAAGGAAGATTCTCAGTGAACACCTAGGAGCAAACAAAGGAATAACCAAAAGCCAACGTGGTTTTGTTAAAAACAGATCATGCCAGACTAAACTTATTCCTGTCATCTCTGAGATTCAGCTGCCAAGAATATTATAAGGGAAAAGCGGGGCGGAGGAATTGGAAAGTTCAAGGTTATTTCGTATGTCACATTAAAAAATTCCAGCTGCAGTTAATTGGTTGTTGTGATTAATGAAGTGTAAGAAGTGGGAGGAGAGAAGGTGGAATTTGTGAAACGCACAGAAAATGACTTTCCATTTGGAAAATTCCATAGACGTACCAGAGCTGTTCTAATAAATCAATTGGAGATTACACTTGTCTCGGAGTGATTGATTACCATGGACAATTTCTGGATGCCTAACAATTGCATTCTTTGACAAAGTGACAAAATTATTTGACCAGAGGAATGCTGTTGATATAATTTACTTGGACTTTAGTAAGGCATTTGATAAAGTAGACCATAACCTACTACTAGATAAAGTAGAAAAATGTGGGTTAGACAGCATCACCACCAGAGGGATTCGTAACTGGCTGACCAAACACACTCAACATATAGTCCTCAATGGAACTGCATCTACATGGTGTGAAGTAAGCAGTGGAGTAGCCCAAGGCTGTTTTAGGCCCAGTACTCTTCAACATCTTCATCAATGACTTGGACAAGGGGATAGATGGGGAATTTATCAAATTTGCAGATGACACTGAGCTGGCAGGAATAGCCAACACTCAAGATAGGCTTAAGATACAGAAGGATCTTGACAGACTTGAACAGTGGGCACTATCTAACAAAATGAAATTCAATGGTGAAAAAAGTAAGGTTCTATATTTAGGCAAGAAAAACCAAATGCATAGGTACAGTATATGTGGTACCTTGCTCAATAGTAGTAACTATGAGAGGGATCTCAGAGTCCTAGTGGACAATCACTTAAATATGAGCCAGCAGTGTGCAGCAGTTGCCAAAGAGGCCAACTCAGTTCTAGGCTGCATAAATAGGATAGAGTCAAGGTCACGTGAAGTGTTAATACCACTTTATAATGCCTTGGTAAGGCCCCACTTGGAATATTGCATTCAGTTTTGGTTGCCACGATGTAAAAAAGATGTTGAGACTCTAGAAAGAGTGTAGAGAAGAGCAACAAAGATGATTAGGGAAATGGAGATTAAAATATATGAAGAACGGTTGCAGGAATTGGGTATGTCCAATTTAATGAAAAGAAGGACTAGGGAGACATGATAGCAGTGTTCCAATATCCCAGGGGCTGCCACAAAGAAGAGGGAGTCAAGCTGTTCTCCAAAGCACCTGAAGGCAGGACAAGAAGCAATGGGTGGAAACTAACCAAGGAGAGAAACAACTTAGAACTAAGGAGAAATTTCCTGACAGAACAATTAATCAGTGGAACAACTTGACTCCAGAAGTTGTGAATGCTCCAACACTGGAAGTTTTTAAGAAGATGCTGGATAACCATTTGTCTGAAGTGGTGTATGGTTTCCTGCCTAAGCAGGAAGACCTCCAAAGTCCCTTCCAACTCTGTTATTCTGTTCTGTTCTGTTCTATCCTATTCTAATTCTAATTCTATTCTAATTCTATTCAATTCCAGAAATCCCCCCCACAATAAATATGGCAACTAAGAAAAGAAGCATGAAAAATATGATTTCAGGTGGAGTCATTTTGAGAGTTGACACTACTTGCTTTAATGCTTCCTTTGTGGAGGAAGCTCAGAACAGAAACAAAGGTATGCATATTTCCACAACACTACAACTATTCTGTATTTGAATAAATGAGTTCAAGCAGCAATTATTTTATGCAACTATGTGAAAAAAGTTACCATGGGACTGAAAAAAATTATAACTGCAAAATAAGTAAACAGTGAGGCCAGGCAGCTGTGAAGGCAAACAAAATTCTGGGTTGCATCACCAGATATATTACTATCAGGAAAAAGGAGGTCCTATCCCTCTACATAGGGCTTTAATGAGACACCATGTAGATTACTGTGTCCAGTTCTGGAGACCTCAGTTAAAAAAAGATACTGATAAGATTGTGTGAATCCAGAGATAGGCGACATGAGGGAAGGCAAGGAAAGATCAGCACAAAATTAGGACAAAGAGCCTATGAGTTGCATTTTCTAATTCAGCATCACTATAACCCCATTCTCCCTATGGTTTTCTTTCTCTGTTATTACATGCATTACATAATGTGAAGCAGGCTGGAAAGGCAGACTGTGACAATAGTAAGCAAAGGAAGAAAAACTGAAACAATAGTAAGGGATTCAGGGCTAATTGCATCTCTGCCTGCAACTCTGCTCTAGTGGATATACTCATTAGAGGGAGTTTCTCGAAATGATTGAGGAATCTCCACCACTTGAATACTGGCAGCCACACATCACTTTCAAGCCAAGTGATAACCTTAAACTCCACTGATGCTCATGTTCGCTTTAAAACCTCCTACTTAGCAAAAAAGCACAAAGATCCTTTGTCATTTCAGACAAGTGACTGTACAATCTCTTCTTAAAAATGTCCAGTGATGAATCACCCACAATGTCTAAAGGCAAGCTTTTCCACTGGTTAATTGTACTTCACCATAAGGAAATTCCAGGCTGCTTTTCCCCTTGATTAGTTTCCATCCATTGTTTCTTATCTTGCTCATTGGGGCTTCGGAAAAACATTTGACCCTCTCTCCTTTGTGGCAGCTTCTCAAATACTGGAATATTGCTATCATGTTACTCCTAATCCTTCTTATCTCTAGACTAGCCAAACTCAAATCCTGCAGCTATTCTTGTTTTATTCTTCAGGCCTTCAGAAGAGCTTAGCTGCTCTTCTTTGCACTTTTTCCAAAAGTCTCAACATATTTTTTGTAATGTGGTGGCCAAAACTGGATTCAGTATTCCAAACGTGGAATACTGAAGGCCTTATGAAGTGGTACTAATACTTGACATGATTCTGTGCCTCTGCTTATACAACCAAGAATTGTATTAACTTTTTTGGCTACTCCCACACATGGCTGACTAATGTTTAAGTGATCATCCATTAGGACTCCAAGGTCCCTCTCAGTTACTGTTTTCGTTCCAGGTTTCACCTAATCTGTTTTTCCTGCCAGGTGTAAAACCTTGCTTTTCTCCACATTAATTTTGTTGGATTCACCTAGTATTATTTGGATCCGAAAGGCACAACATGCATACAAATAAAAATATGTAGAGATATGCTGGGGCAATGGTTAGAACGCAGTACTACAGGCTAATTGCCCACAGAAGGAGTTTGATCCTGACCGCCACAGCGCTGATTCAGTCTTTCTTCCTTCTGAGGTTGCTAAAATGTAAAACCAGATTGCTGGGGAACAATATACAGACTTTGTAAATCTCTTAGTGCCGGAAAGCATTGTGCACTGGTATATAAGTCTAAATGAAATTGCTATTGCTACACAGTTTCTCTCGAGCATGGATCCTTTTATGAGAAGTAAGACTACGATTCTGAGCAAAGCTCTTTCCACAATTCATGCATCGATATGGTTTCTCCCCTGTGTGGCTCATCTTATGAGAATTAAGATGATATCTTTGAGCAAAGGTCTTTCCACACTCTATGCATTTATACGGCTTCTCCCCTGTGTGGATCATCTTATGGCGAATAAGGTGGCTTCTTTGAGCAAAGGTCTTTCCACACTCCATGCATTTATACGGCTTCTCCCCTGTGTGGATCATCTTATGGGAAATAAAACTAGGTCTTTGAGCAAAGGTCTTTCCACACTCTATGCATTTATATGGCTTTTCCCCTGTGTGGATTCTTTTATGGCAACTAAGATTACCTCTTTGAGCGAAGGTCTTTCCACACTCCATGCATTTAAATGGCTTTTCCCCTGTGTGGATCTTTTCATGGCTTCTAAGTCCACTGCTCTGAGTAAATGTCTTTCCACACTCCATGCATTCATATGGCTTCTCCCCTGTGTGGATCCTCTTATGAAAAAAAAGATGACGTTTTTGAGCAAAGGTCTTTCCACACTCCATGCATTTATATGGCTTTTCCCCTATGTGGATCTTTTTGTGGCAACTAAGTCCACTGCTCTGAGCAAAGGTCTTTCCACACTCCAGACATTTATATGGTTCTTCTCCCGCGTGGATCTTTTTGTGGCAACTAAGTCCACTGCTGTGAGCAAACGTCTTTCCACACTCCATGCATTTATATGGCTTCTCTGCTGTGTGGATTCTTATATGGGAAACAAGATTACTGCGTTGAGCAAAAGTCTTTCCACACTCGGTGCATTTAAATGGCTTTTCCCCTAAGTGGATCTTTCTGTGGATAGTAAGTCTACTGTTCAGAGCAAAGGTCTTTCCGCACTCCATGCATTTATATGGTTTCTCTCCTGTGTGGATCTTTTTGTGGATAGTAAATTCATAGCTACAAGGAAAGGTTTTCCCACACTCCATGCATTTATATGGTTTCTCTCTCATGTGTCTCCTTTTGTGGATTGTAAGTTGATTACTACGAGTAAAGGTTTTCCCACACTGCATGCATTTATATGGTTTCTCTCCCCTATGGATTCTTTTATGGGATACAAGATTACTGCATTGAGCAAAGGTCTTTCCACACTCCATCCATTTATATGGTTTCTCTCGTGTGTGGATCTTTTTGTGGATAGTAAATTCATAGCTACAAGGAAGAGTTTTCCCACACTCCATGCATTTATATGGTTTCTCTCCCATGTGTCTCCTTTTGTGGATTGTAAGTTGATTACTATGAGTAAAGGTTTTCCCATGCTGCATGCATTTATATGGCTTTTCCCCTGTGTGGATCTTTTTGTGGCAACTAAATCCACTGCTGTGAGCAAAGGTCTTTCCGCACTCCATGCATTTAGATGGATTCTCTCCTGTGTGGATATTTTTGTGGATAGTAAGTCCAATACTATAAGCAAAGGTCTTTCCACACTCCAAGCATTTATAAGGCTTCTCCCCTGTATAGATCATCATATGGGAAAAAAGATGATCTCTTTGAGCAAATGTCTTTCCACTCTCCATGCATTTAAATGGTTTCTCTTGCTGGGCAAGGAAGTCTTGCATTGCTGCATCAGTGGAAGATGAGCTTTCCTGGTTCCAATTATTTGACTGGTTTCTCTCATGGCTTTTGAATTTCAGTTGAATTCCAAACTTCTCCATTCCATCTTTAGCACTGATCACTTGGAACATTTCATGGGAACCTTGATTCTTCTGCTCATTATTACCTTCAAAGCAAAAGGGAAATGAAAATGATAACAAGCTTAGAGAAAAAGATCAAACTGTAGAAAGTCAAGTGAATTTCCTTCTGAGTTTCTCGGAAATTCCATTAGGTTGTATGTTTGCATGCTTCCAGTGGTGTGATATAGACATGATGATTTCTATATTCATGAGTAACGAAAGCTTTGAAAATATCTAGAAAATATCTGTTTCTTTACAATTATCTATATATATGCAAATCTCACTCAAAGCTAGTTTTGAGTTAAGGAACTATCAGTAGAAACATCCAAGGAGGAATTAGGAGAAATGTTAAGATTTATTGGGGTGGGTTAATTTCAGCAGAAATCTGTGAGAATTGAAACAATTTTGAAACAAGCTCCTTCTCCAGTGTACTTTGGATCAGCTGCTCCATGGTGTCTCTCTGGCAGGACCCCCACTCGGCCTGTTCCTTGATCCCAGTGGTGAGATTTTGGAGCTAAATCCCTTGCTTGAAGCTTCCCAATGACTTGTAAACTCTTTTTGCGCTGAGACTGCAAAGGTTGGGATGCTTCAAGAATGGCTACTTCACTGCTCCAAAGTCTCATCGGCTTGCAAGGGCTCTTTGGCCGGATCTGGTGCAGTTCACAGAGAATGGAGGCCTAAAATACTTTAGTAAGAGATCACACGAGACCAGTAGTGCAAGATCTCAGGCCACTAATCTCGCATGATCTCACACTGCAGTTCTGCAAAGGTTGGGAGGCTTCAAGAATGGCTCATTTGCTTCCCCAAAGTCTCATCAGCGTCAAATGAGAGGATAGAGATTGACCCATCCCGAAATACAAGCCATGTCAGAGTGGCAGCCCCCTCGCACCCGCAGACAGTTACAAAGTTTCCTGGGATTCACAAACTTTTACAGGCAATTCATCTACTCCTTTGCAAAGATTGCCAAACCCAGAACCGACCCCCCAAAGAAAGGGCCCCCCGGGACGAACCCCCCCCCCCCCCCCCCCGGGTAATCCCTACAGTGGAACCTAACTTGCCAAGAGGCATTTGGCCATGAAAAGTTCTGACCATGAAAGTTTTGTTTTCACACAATTTGGGGAGGTTTCGGAGGACAAGTGACAACACACTCCTCTCACATGACCTCCAGAGCAGGGGTTTCCAAGCTTAGCAACTTTTAAGACTTGTGGACTTCAACTTCCAGAATTCCTCAGCCAGGAAAGCTGCTCCAAAGGATATATAAAAGCAAACCTCGTTCTTTTTAGCCTCCACAGATGAGTTAAAATAGAAATGGAAAAATACAGATAAGAAACAGCACAGGAAGAATCTAGACAAAGAGACATTGACACTTTCTCTTCTTGGAGTATGAGAAAGCCAGATTCTTTCCTTCTCCCACCCAGGAGATAATATCTGATTAGTGATTTTTCAATAAAAATCTAACTATAATCTGCCTTCTTGAACTCCCTGATTTGGGTCAAGAAAAATCTTACCCAGAGAGATCACATTCCTATGGTTTTCAAGCATGACTTCTGAATGCAGCGCTTTCTGGTCAGGATCCAGCTGAGACCATTCCGCCTCAGAGAAATACACAGCCACCTCCTCGAAGGACACAAGATTCTCCTGAACACAGAAAAAAGAACAGAACAGGAAGATTCACAAGATATGTTTATCTTCATCAATGATTTAGACAAGAGGATAAAGGGGGAACTCATCAAATTTGCAGACAAGACCAAATTGACATGAATACCAACACTCCAGAGGATAAGCTTGAGATAGTGAAGGATCGATAGATTCGGACCCATCTAAGAATAGACAAGACCAAATTGAATATAAAAACTCCAGAACATAGGCTCGAAATATAGAAGGATTGACGGATTTGGCCTCATGTAAGAAAATCTAACAAAACGAAATCAACAGTGAGAGATGTAAGGTTCTACATTTAGGAAAGAAAAACTAAATGCACAGGGATAGAATAGGTGATACCTGGCTCAACAGTAGTAAGCACAACACGGATAACAGAAAATCAGAGTGTTGGAAGGGACCTTGTAGGTCATCTAGTCCAACCCCCTGTCCAAGCAGGAAACCCTATACCATTTTTGACAGATGGGAGTCCGATCTCTTCTTGAAAGTCTCAAGTGATGATGCTCCCACAACTTCCGAGGGCGACTTCTGTTCCATTGGTTGATTGTTCTCACTGTCCGAAAGTTTCTCCTTATTTCCAGGTTAAATCTTTCCAGTTTCCATCCATTATTCCTTGTCTGGACTTTGGGTGCTTTAGAAAATAAAATATCTTGACCCCTTCCACTCTGAGGCAGCCCCTCAAATATCGGAACACTGAACAGATACAAAGGTATGCATATTTCCACAATGCTAGAACTATTCTCAACATTTTTTTTATAGTGTGGTGGCCAAAACTGGATGCAGTACTCTAGGTTTGGTCTTACTAAGGCTTTATAGAGTGGTATTAGTACTTCTATTGATCGTGATTGTATCCCTCTGTTAATGCAAGTTAGGATTGCATTAGCTTTTTTAGCTGCTGCTGCACACTGCTGGCTCATATTTAGCTGGTTGTCCACTAAGATTCCAAGATCCCTCTCACAGTTGCTGCTATTGAGCCTGGTTTCACCCAATCTATATGTGTACTTTTGGTTTTTCTTGCCTAGGTGTAGGACTTGACTTTTCTCTACATTGAATTTCATTTTGTTAGATATGACCCCGTGTTCTAGTCTGTTAAGATCCATCTGGATCTTGAGCCTATCTTCTTGGATGTTAGCTATTCCTGCCAGATTAGTATCATCTGCAAATCTGAATAAATTCCCCTTCTTTTCCTTCATCTATATCATTAATGAAGATATTGAAGAGTACTGGGCCTAAGACGGAACCCCGTGGCACCCCACTGCTTACTTCCCTCCACAGAGTTCTAGTGTCAGCAGTATGCTATGGTAGCCCAAAAACCCCAATACAATCATTGGCTGAATTAAGAGGAGGATAGAATCAGGATCAGGATGAAGTGGTAGTACCAATTTATAATGCTTGCCAAGACCACACTTGGAATATTGCATTTGGTTGTCAGATGTAAAAGAAGATCTTGAGACTTTAGAAAGAGTGCCAATAAGAGCAACAAAAATTGTTAATGGACTGGAGGCTAAAACATATTAAAATGGTTGCTGAAATTGCGTATGGCTAGTTTAATGAAAAGAAAGACTTTGGATGTGTGTGTGATATGATAGCATTGTTCCAAGAAGCAACAGATGGAAACTATTCAAGGAGAGAACCAACCTACAACTAAAGAGAAATTTCCAGACAGTGAGAACAATTAATCAGTGGAATGACTTCCCTCCAGAAATTGTGGGTGCTCCCAACACTGGACATGTTTATGAAGAAATTGGACAGCCTTTTATCTGAAATGTTATAGGGCTTCCTGTCTGAGCAGGGGGTTGGACTAGAAGACCTCCAAGATCCCTACAAACTCTTGTTATTCTGTTCCATCATTCCCAAATTCCCAAAGCAGAGATATGCACTAAGTTAAATGGCTGTGGGTTACACAAGTCCTAATTTTAGGTGAGAAAATGGGCAATTCTGAAAATTTCTTTGACTGAAGAAATATTTGGTGAAGTTTTATCAAGTTAATTGATTCTTCAGAACTTCCAGTGCCTTTCAGTAATCCCATTTCTGGATCAACTGAACTATCACACTGTGTATCATTGATTGATCTATTAGTCTTGAGCCACTGGCTGAATGGAACAAAATAAAGAGAAAATTCCCTGCAAAGGTCATTTCTCAGCCTTTGGAAAGTGGGAATGTTTGATCCAGGCACAAATCAGAAATTATTTCATAGCCCAAAGTACCATGATTACATGTTCCACGTGGCCATTCTCTTTGGATTTTAAAATTCTGCTTTATTTTTTAATATGATTTGCTTATTTTTTGAACTATGGGTTTTTAAAAAGGGCAATGTGAGTCTTTAGTTATTTTTCATTAGCCTTGCACAATCCCGAGTCAAAGAATTACCAAAAAAAGGGGTCTCTAGCAGTTCCTGCCACTGTGATACATTTATTCCTATTTCTGGAAGGACTTTTTAAAAATCGCTTCTTGTAAACGACAAGTTGGTGGAGAACAACAGAATAAGATAACCAGAGGAAGCTATGCTGGTCAAAAGCAACTCGAACCTGCTATTCTGCTGTCCATGGTGTGGAAGAGCACAAAAATAATTCAGGCCAAACGAAGTGGGGTGGGGGGATTATGGGGAAGGAAAATAAAAATCTAATAACTTTTCCCTTTCTTACTTGATTGGCAGGTTCAACCACTGTTTGAGCTCCCTCATAAAAACCAGAAAGCGTCATTCTTTGTTTCTCTGTAAGGAATAAATAATTTCAAAATGTATGAGTAACAAAATAGGAGGAGGTATTCTATAGAAGGGAAGAGAGAGCAAAGGTAAGACAGATGTACTTACTTTTATTTATTTATTAGCCCTTGGGCCATATCAAAAGGCAGAGTTCCAGAAACAAATTATTACTAAAATTTGATAAAAGCAATTTAAAATGAAATTGGAATAGAATACAATAATTTAAGATAAAATATGATAAAATTATATTTCGGTGTCACCCCTGCAATCTATCCCAATCAGTCCCACATATGCATATCTCAATTGAGCTATTTGGCTTAAGTATTGTGCTGTGTTAAATGTTATTTTCAGATTCTGGCCGCACATAATATAAATTGTTTTGATATGGGGATCCCAATGGGTCATTTGTTTGGTATATAGACTGAGATAGCTGTCTTGTACAAGCAATAA